AAAAAAACAGTGTCTATCTTATAGCATTATCATAGCCTGGATAGGATTGACCAGTCGATATAATCCAGCAGTGACTCAAAATTCAAAATTCTAAAATCATTTATTCATACAAAATGTACACTTATGAACGTCAGAAAAAAAAAATGAAATGCTTCTAATTTTACATTTACTGCCAGTTCTCAAGTCAATGGCGTAGAACGGAAGAGAAGAACTGGCAATAAACTCTCCGCCACTCTTTTTAATCGCCAAGTTTTTTGTTTTACAAAATTACACAGTGTTCCACATGACATCTTAAGTAATTAATAATAGTAAAGTAAATTAAAAAAAAAAGATTTGTCCTCTAACGATAGACTGTGACTATAAATAGTTTCTCAATTTAAATAGTTTATTACAGTGATTATATAAGTATAATAGATATAATAAAAACACAGTATCCATATTAGACCTAACAAAAGCGGAATTTAATTCCTAAAACGGCGTTTGAGCAATGCTATTGTGTAGAATATAATAGTCGTTATCATAACTGGACACTCGCTTATTTCATAATGAACATTGTGCCATATTTGTGGGGTCTCTTGGGCAAAATGTGATAACAATCCTAGGGTTAACCTTTTCAACAATATAGTTAGTAGAAGAATATATTTCTACATATTACTAATTGCGTACATTGATGCTGCTTGGTGTTAGTTAATAGGTTCATGCGTCCAAAAGAAGGGATGTTGACGCAACATTGATGAAAATATTGATGTGTTTTACAACAGTCTACCAACTTACCGTAACTTTGTTTTGCAGGCTCTTAATGTGGTTAAGTTTTCATTTAATTTTGTTTATTTCTGTAATTGTTATTTTTTATCTTTTTATTTTTAGTTATTAATTTTTAATTTGTAGTTTTTATCATTTTTTTTTTTGTGGTTGTTTGTTTAATTCTTTTCTTTGATAGATGTCTTATGTTTTAATGTTATTGATGTGTATGTGTGTTAAAATTGTGATGTCATATTTTCTTGTATTTTTTAGGCATACACATTGTTTTAGAATGTATAAATAAATAAATCTCTGAAAGCATTGTACCCGGCCTCCCCCAGCTTTATAGAACAGAGCGAATTGGCCGATGTGAATGGCCCTTGCTGTGGCAAGGTCCATTCCACATCATTCGTGGCCGTAGAGGACCGTGAGCTTAACGTCTGATCGCGTGGCTGAATGCGAACAAGGCTGCGATGTTACCGTGTCCTGCCTCGGGCGATTGCTGGTGGCGCCGTGGGGTTTTAGTGGGTATGCACAGCAGCGAGTCCCACATAACCCTTCAACATCAGGCAACCGTACCGCGGGAGGGTATGCATAACGCATTTCCCCACAAAAAAAATTTCATATTTTTATTTAGAAGTTAAGTTATTGAAGAATCTCCTGCATAATCAGTTTTATATATAGCAATGCCCTGCTCCTTAACTCGCGTAGATCGTGGTAGTGAAAAGTTTACTAAGTCGGGCTATAGATATATTTTTTATCATAAAAGTTTTTCTTTTATTAGTTTTCTTAGATTTTAATTACTTCCTTTCAGATTATTAGATACACACTTCACACATTAATAAGCTAATCTATATACAGATTTTACTATACAACGAATATATATCTAATATATGTTTAAATTCGTAACATCATTTACGTAGAATGTCCGACATTATTTAAAATATTCTACAGCTATTGAAAAATTCTTGATTTCAAGTAGCCAATGAAATATTTTTTTAAATTAATTCAGGATTTTTAGCTTGATTATTATAAATTGTTAAAAATAAAATCAAAAATTCAAAATGGAAAACTTCTATAATATTAGAGCATTTATTAGAACTTCCTTATGCACAAGATTTGACGTAGTTTTGTTTTGTGGCAGCAAAATAATTTCATGTTTTGTAGTTCCGACTCGGGATAGGCCAACATACAATTGCCCATGGGTAAAAGCCGTAAAAACATTCGTTTTTGTAGATATTTATACATTATAAAATACAGTACAAAATTTTTTTCACACTTTGGGTTATATTATTGCATTTTTATTAGGGATCCCTATTTTTCTTTTGAATGTAATATAACCTATGTCAGTCCGTGAAGATGTAGCTTTCTAATGGCTAGCCGCACACACAAAATAATATTGACAATAAAATACGTATTGTCAATAATATTGTGTGTGTGCGGCCTGTATTGCGGTATTGTTCAATATTATTGTGGATTATCCAGAAATTCAGATATTGTCACGTCAATATCGGGGGGGAGGCAGGGGTATTGTCAATAATATTGACGTGTGCGGACGCGCGGCAATATTTTAGTTGAGAAAAAGATTTCAAGGCAGGCGGACGTTCCTGTTTTTTGTTCAAAATGGAGGACGAAAACAGTATTCAAAGCGAAAATAGTGTGGATACTGTTGATGATGCCACTCTCACGGAAAAACACTATTTGTCAGTGTTTATTAAAACATTTATTTATTTATTACAGAAATACATACATTATCCTTACAGACTATGCCAATACGATAATGTCGATAATGTGGGAAACTTATCCAGAATTATAGAATACATCCTGCAAATCATATCGTGATACAGTTAAGAAAAATAATGCGCTTGATAAGTTGCTCGATATTTATAATAAAATCAAACTAAATAGCACGAGAGAAGACGTAAAAAAAAATTAATTCCCTACGAACAAATTTTCGGAAAGAAAAAAAAAAGAAAAAAAGATAATAGTTTTTGGAAGCTGCTATCTCTCATTCTCATGTAATTTTTAAAATTATTTTCTTCTGTAACTCGTAGTTCATTTATTAGATTAAAGTAGGGATGTGACATTCTGCATAAAAAAATCGATTTTTTATTAATCGATTATTTTTGTACATGAATAATCGATTAATAAATAATCGATTTTTCTTAAAAAAATAATCGTTTTTTTATTAAGTCCTAATTTTTGAATTTATTTCAAAATAAACACCCTAAATATTTTAATTTCATAGTTTTCTAAATTAAAAATAAACAATAGAAATTATAAACACAAATTAACGTTTAAGAATAATCACAATCGAAATTAACTTAATCTCGTTTTGATAGATTTTGATAACTGCTGAGTGTATTCCTTTTCAGTAGCACATTGCAGTATTTTTGTTGTCTTTTTAATTGTATGTAGTCTTGTGCTGCTGAATAAATTTATTTTACTTTTAAATTATAGTGTTCCATTCAAACTTGAGTTTTTGTAAAATTAACTGCTTTTATCATTTAAAGAAAAAACTGTTTGACCGGATTGAAGTTATGTATTATTATAAATTTACAACTATTTAACATAATTTTAAATTTATCCGACGTTTCGCGTGCTTTACAGCGTGCGTGGTGGTCATATAATCGATTATATATCGAAATATATCGAAAAATAATCGATTATTTTTTCACATCCCTAGATTAAAGTGATTTAACTCAGCTTTTCTTCTCATCCAGTCTTTAATCCATCGTTTCTTTCTTGATTGCTTTTTTTAGATAGTAAAATTAATGCAATACTCAATGTAACGATTTTTTTCTTTCTATCCATTATGTAAACGTGCGCACATAAACTAGCTGCGGACCGACTGACTCAGATTGTACAATGAAAAATTGCCAATAATATTGCGTAGTGTGCGGGGACCATATATTGATGAAGATTATTGACAATCTTGCATTGACAATATTATTTTGTGTGTGCGGCTAGCCAATGATGAAATAATTTTTGAAATAGGTTCAGTAGTTTTTGTGTGAAAACATTACTAACATACAAAAACACAAATATTTCCTATTTATAATATTAGCATGGATATGTATTTTGGATATATATATATATATATATATATATATATATAATATATAATATATATATATTGTATATGTATACTAATCATATACAATATACAATCGGGACTCAGTTACAATTTATACATTTATTGTAACAGTAAGCAAAATGTATAACATGTTAAGTTTAAAAAACAAAAATTATAAAATAGGAAGAAGAACATGTAGTTTAAAAATCATATTGTACCATTAAATACAAGAAACTCAAGGGAGATAAAAGTGCGGAAAAATGAACGTCTTTGAGTCTTTTTGAAGTTGAATACGAAAAATACATTATTACTCCTATTGCAGGTAACATAACAAAACTTCTCTTGAGAGAAGTGAACACAAGACAATGCCATAGTTATAATAGGTACCGAACAATGGTGCGGTCCAGCCGATATAGGACATCTCAGATATTGCATTTCTGAACAATAATGAAAATCAGATATCAATGAATACATATACAGAAACGCAAGAAAACCAATATCAATATTTTCCGCTTGCATATTTTCTTGAATAAAAATAGCAACCGCCCATACATTATTTATCGTTTCGGCGGCTCTGCAGACTCCAAATAATGTTCATTATACCATAAAGAGTCGGTTTATCTTTCCCCCGAATGGTCTTAATGGCTTTGTTACTTGTTGTTTTTGTGATAAGACCGGAAGAAGGATGGGATTTTTGCTAAAACGTGTGCGAAATATAGTGATTACATATATTAGTTTTTTTGTAGAAACCACTGTTTGAACACTGTCTGTAGTATGCTATTTGGAGTCGCAGAGTACCAGCGCAAAACGGTATACGCGGAAATAAATCCGAAATAAGGCAAAGTTAAAAAAACTAAACTAAATCAGTATAAACACTGTTAAGACAATTTTACCATAATAAACTCAGCGTATTATAAAATATTATTCGCTTGTATATTGACAAAACAATCGCAAGGAAGGAGTGAAATAATAATGGTCCGTTTTGTCAATGACAAATTTTATTCCCATTAAAATGGTTATTTCGTGGAATGCCCTAATTGGACTGGCTAGTTTGAATTTCATAATTCATTTTGTCTTTTATATACCAATTATTGAGGATATTAACTGCGACGGTGGTCATAGGTTAAAAATATATGTACCTTATCCACAGGCATGGAAGGGCACGCACGGCACAGGTTCCAGAATGAGCCGATCATCTGTGCGCAGCCGCCGGCTCGTATCACTGGTGCAAGCTACTGCCCTGCCGCCCTCGGCATGCGCTGCTGCTGAAACAATACCAACGCTTAACACCAACTTTATATGGTAATCTGGAACAGTTGGAAATTCCCTGAAAGACAAGGACAATTCAAGGTTACATTCTTAGTTGATATGGATAGCAACGTCATAGTGATCAATTGTACGTTCCAGGCACGACGAAAACCAAAAATTCACAGATATTTTATTTGTTAAGTCCCTATTACCACACGTTTTGGCATTAATTACTTTTAATAAAGCAACTATTCTTAACAATTATTGTTTTACAGGTAATCAAAGCAGCACGTTAGTATAGGAAGCTGTCAATCATAATAACTACAATACAAAGTTTCTTAACCGTTAGTGATAAGTTTATTATAAAGCAAGGTACTCCACTCCTCCTTCACGATAATGCTCGCCCGCGTTCTGGCGACATGGATCCGTCCAGCTGTAAGTTCTGACTTCTATTTAAATGAGCATGTCTGGGATATTCTAGAGACGAGGAAGATCAGTGCAACCTGCTCCAAAAAAAGATCAGGGAGCTAAGAAGAGTCATTGCAGCAGAGTGGAAACGTATTTCTCAAAACATCTTGGAAAGCATGCCGAGAAGGATTCAAGGTTTCTTCATATTTATAACTTTATTAAATAAAAAAATAAAAAAAATCTTGTCTTTGTAGCTGACCACTTCTTATTTTTTGTTGTGCATCGGTGTTAAAGAGTTCAAAAAAATAATTGTCAGAATTCACTTCACGTATTAATTTAAATTTCATTCAATTAACCGAAATCGACCTTAGAACGTAAATTTCCTTAGATGACCGTTTTTTTTCAAAAGATATGAAACAAAGCTGTTGCTTAAAAATATCTATTATGACTTTGCCTTCGGCCTTCAATCACGTAATGAACACAAAAATAACGCCCGTAAAAACTGCAATATGGATCTAAGCCAAATTGCTAACTGGGAATGGATTTTTTGTTTATACTTCAAATCAGTTTTAAAAGGATATTGTACATATATACAGAGATACATAAAGAATAATTTAATCATTTCTGGAAAATTCTATTATTTTCTCAATGTAATCCCACAGGCCATGGAACGCCATATATAAACCAAGCCAGAGGTGAAAATGTGAAATAACATGTTGACGTTCCTATTACTTGTTTGTGAGTGGCCAATAGAAATTCTAGGCTATCTGATTTCATTTTGTTCATATAGGACTAAACTATCGAACCATAGTAAAAGGTTATACAAAAAGACTGCTAATGTGAAAATTATGATAGACGACAACTTAGATTATTAAGTGTTGCGTCAATGATTGCTAATAATAACTATTTCCACATTTATTTCCAAGCAGATGAAATCACTGCTACTAGTATAACTTGATGTCCTATACCTAAGCCTAGTGAGTGAGTCTAGTCTATTCCACACTGAGTCTCTTTCCGGCTCTCTTTGCCTCAATTGCAACTATACGACGCCAGGTTTGCTTGGGAAGGGCATGCTTCTGCTTTCCTAGCAATCAAGCGCCTGCTGGGGATATAATTGGAATCTCTTTGGAGAATATGGCTTATCCATTTCCATTTGCGTCGCTTGATCTGCCGGCTAATCCGAGGTGTTCGGTAGCGCTTCCAATATTAGGAACTAGTATGACATTAACAAAATAAATTATTAATATCTGTCGAATCCATATTCTATACCAATATCATATCTGTGCATACAGATTTCCTCGAAATGGAAAAATCGTAGATGTAAGCGATTGAAGAGCGCTATAAAGCTCGGATATTGGTAGCTTTGGTTGAACTTATGTTCAGGTAGATACACTTTAGAGGTACTAAAGCAATGTTAGAAGGTTTCGCTAAATGGAATGTTACGGTTCAAAAGCTTTTCTAAATAAATTGCGGTTTCCTAAGAATTTTTGTTTTTTGTAGATATGTTGTATTTTTTATTTAAAAGAACACATAAATCTTACAAACTAAAAACGTTTATAGATTTGTCTATGAAATACAGAATTTTCATACAATAAAATTAAAGTGTAATATAATGTTAATGGTGTTAAATCAAAAATACCTTATAAGACGTGGCTAATTCTGTACATATAAAATTAGTTACTTCTGTTGGGTTTTAGGAGTGTTGGCCTAGTGGCTCTCAACCATGAGGTCGTGCGTTCGAATCATGGCTGTGAAAAAATGGACAATGGAAACCGGCATGCACAAAATCAGACGTGTGTCAGGCAAAAAAGGAAACACATTCATCAGTATTTTTGTAGTAGTGTAGGTTCGAAAATCATCTCTGTCTATTTTTGGTGTACTATAATTTATTAATTTTAAGTATTTATAATCACTGTCACCTAACCTGGACTGTTGGCGGGAATAGGGAAGGCTAGATTGCCCTTACATAGGACATTGCAATGGACTGTATGTGCCTGCACTGTACGAGAAACTAGGTGATCTGTGCGAGTAATTTTAGAATTAATTTTATGATTTAATATAATTTTGTAATTAATATTGTAACTAACACAATAATAACCATATGTACTAATTATGTCTGCTTTAATAAATAAATTATTATTGTCCTGGTATGTTTTTTAGTTTAGGTACTTAAACAAGTACACAATTTTGTAGTTCGTGATCCGATTACAGTGGCCATTTTTCAAAAGCTTCGGGCTTGCCAAGCTTGCCAAGACTGGAAAACTTACTGGCCAGTCAAGCAAATGTTCACTTAAATTATGTGGGAAGGTTGCCAACGGCACATTACTGCAATTCGTGCTTATACTTCGTAAAACACCGCAACACATTTATTTACCATATTCTCTTTAATACTTTATAATTGGGATCACCTTTGATAGGGGCATAGAACTACCTCACATAATTCGAAAATACTTATACCGTATAAATTTTGATTAGAATTGCGTTTGTTAAATAATAATTTAATTTTTGTGACAAAAAATTCATGACTTGATGGTTTGCGTGCTTTGCAAACAGTAAACAATAAACTACAAGGGCCGCCACAGTGCAAATGTAAATGATTAATGAATTTAGAATGGCTGCGAAAACGTGTAGTAAAGTTAGAATGCATTGTGCATGATAACGGGTGGATTTAATGATTGTTTAAATTGAATTAAGTATTAGATTATTTTTACTAATATATATTGTAAGGACATGTTAAAAACAAAGACATAGACAACATGTATAAAAACAATAGTAATGCTAATTATTGATAAATTTATATAAAATATTAACGTTTACATGCTATCAAAAATACTTCTAGTTATTATTATTTCTTAAATTATATTCATTCATATTACTTTCATATAGTTAAATAACTTTGGTGTTGGGTCTCATTCAACCCTTAACGCTTATTTGTTACCCAAAATGGGAATGGTTTACGTATTCCGCAGAGCACTAAAGGGCACTGGAGCATATGGGGCTGGACGCTGAGGGTGAGCTATGCCCACTGAAACACTTCAGGTAGTTCCAACACCACCTCCATAGCGATACCCTTGCAGTCAGGTCCATAGGACTACTCTCATTAAGCCCTAGAGAGACGTTCTCTGAACATTTGCTGCATCTCTGGAGCGACAAATTCTGCATCTTAAATTTGAAACCCCTACAATATATTCCGTAGCTCAATGATAAAGTCCAGTTCTTGGGGAATTATGAATTATTTCGTAGTAAAATATCAGTTAATGCTAATTTATATTGATGTTAATAAATAGCCGATCCTTAGCCATGTTCAATGTTCATGCTTTATTGGAAATGTTGAATGTCCGTTTTTTATTTATGTTCTGGTTTTATTGACATATTGTACAATGTTTTTTTTGAATTGACTAATTTTGTGAGAATACTTTTTATTGCTAGCTTAGTTGAATATTCTCTCAGTAGGTATGTATATTATAAATAAATAGATTCAAACTATACAAGGGATACTTACATTACTCCTAAGGTTACCTTACGGTTTAGTGTGGATTTTCCGAAAACCCTTTTTTATGTTATTCAAGTTTTTAATTCGGTTTAGGGTCTAGGTCTTATTAATCAAAATATTAGGTTTTATTTATATTATTAGCGAGATTCCCTGGTGGAATGTCAGATAAAATAAGACGAATATTGAACTTGGATTTGTATTTTTTTAAATATTAAATTATTCGTTATCTCGTATTTTCTCGAGGTTTCAGCGATGTTTTATTTTAGATTAATGTAATACATGTAAGTGCTACATGAATTCCAGTGTGAAAACAAAAGAAACCCTCATGAGAATAATATAAAATGTATGAACGGAAATCTTGATAAATGAGTATAAATTATTAATCAGTTCAAACTGTTTATTATTTTACCTTTTTCCGCACGTTTGCCCTAAGATTGAGTCAATACTTAAGCATTAAGGCTGTATAGTATAGGTAAGTACATTCGTCAAGTTTGATTTTTGCTTATAAAACAAACAGACCATTTTCTTTTAGAAGATAAACGAATTTCATCTAAAACTGTAACACTGCGGCGCTAAGGAATAGGGTTGTTTAGTGTTAATGATATCATCTACGTAACTTATGAGTGAGAACTGCTGCATAATTCCACCATCAATCTAATTCAACCGTGAACACGTAAGAGACAGATTTATTTTCGAATTAATTTTTAATAACGGATGGTTTTATGAGATGACGTCTTCCGAGCCATTATCGTCCAAACGGCATTTCTGGCCACAAGTAATTGCGTATGCTAAACTCCCAGGATTGGAGGACACATGATGTCATGATAACGATCTATGACGTCACGTCCTGCGAGATCTCTGGCAGTCTTAGACAGATCCACAGCCTCGGAGGAATCGATTGGCTATTAATTTATTCTGAATTTAAAAATGAACGTCTTCCACACTGTGCGTAATAAGGGATATAATCAGAATTTGGCGATGGCGAAATTGGTGAGTATATGTGTGTCGTTAATGAGCTGTACCATGGCTTTAGCCGGTGGGGAGTTTCCTTACTGTTTTGTTTAAAATTAAATAAATTTTATTAAAGCCGATAAATACGTCAAATTTCATAAGTAAATATTATTTTAACTTTAAATTTTCATTAATATTTTACAAGAATAAATACTTACGACAATTCCCAGCACAGTTCTGCACACAAACAAAATTGAGTTCGGCGTTCGAAACTCAAAAAATTCGAAAAATGTCAAAACGAACAAGCAATTTTACAACGCGAAGCGCGCTACAGTGTTTTTCGCGCTCGGCACCGGCTTGTCGGCTGACTGCCGCAAACTCCGCGAAAAATCAATAGCCACCCCTAACTTGGACGCCGCATGCGGAACTTGGCTAAAAACCGACACTCCTCACCCATTTCCGTATTATGTAACGTTGTTAGATAGAGATGGATGTATTTTTCATCTATCACCCCTCGAACATCCCTCTATGGATGGCCAATCGTGCTCGCCGGAAAATTAAGATGGCGGATTGACGTTTGACATTTAGGCGCCAATTCTGTCATTTATGTCAATCAGAAATTGCTTTTCAATCGATTCTATTGCTTCATTTTGATTTGATGATATTATAATGAAAACGTTTTCATGTTTGCGCAAATTTAAAAATGTTTGTGTTCGTACTTGTCGGGGATGGGTGATATCATTCTCTGGAGGTTTTTAATAAAGGTTCAATGATCGGAGGCGGTTTTTACTGCTTTGATAGACCTTCAGATTAATGACTTCGTTCTTATAAACGCTTTGTGACACTTTCCGTTGATTTTTTGTCACCGACGTTTTTTGTTACGAGTGCTGATGAATCGTTTGATCTTTAGAGAACATCAAACATCGAATATTATTAAATAAATACTTTTATTATTATTCACAATATATTTACGAAATGTAATACAATATCTTTTATACGAATAAATCAACTGTAATGAACAAACGTGTTAATCAACAGACAATATTCGTTCACATTATTCAGACATTATTCAATCCATTGGATTTTTAAAAGCGTCAGACAGGACTTTGGTTTACAACAATCATAGCACATCATAGTACATATTTGAACACCACTTCAATTTTAGTCACGTACGGAAACACGTACGAAAACAGCCTACTGTCTAAGCGACCCTCAGCCTTGAGTCTACGTATGATACGTTCCAACTTTGGAATTTTCTTTTTCTCTTAAAATTGCCTTGGTCTTACAGTAAGGGCAAAAAAACAAGACAGGCCATCAATTTGCCAAAAAGTTATCAAAGTTATCTGCCAGTAGGGGTCGCAGATTTTTCTATAAAAAGCGCCTTCGAGAGTCAAAAATGACTTACTACTACTGATATTTTTAATTTATAGATAAAATTTGTTACTTTCTATTTGAAATAATTACAAAATTAATATAAAGTAATACCTTTAAAGGTTAACGCCGCCAAAATAGCTTGATATTCTGTTATAATGATGCTACCCTTGCAAAGATAAGCATCTTGTGATTCTAGACAAGTGCAGAAAAATAAGCTACTTTTATATTATTAGGTAGGACAATAATATTTCGATAAAGACCAAGACGCGCGCTATGTCGCAATGCAGTAAGGAGCATGCTAACTTACTGCAGTTGAATAATGGTATTTACAGGCTTTTTACACAACTACCGAAAAAGAGGATAATGTTTGCATAATTACATGTTGTCTTATGTTATATATAGGATAGGTCGGCAGCGTGTGAAAATGCTTTAGCACGAAGACGCGCAGACCATTATAGTTGCTATAATGATCTTCGGGACTTCTAGATAAGTAATTTTAATACAACCTTTTAAAACGTTTTAGGTCTCCCGAGTTAAATAATTACTTGGAGTAATTGTAAATTTCGTTAATGTTAATTATATTGTAAGAAGGATAAATCGGTTTTTCCTTAATTAATATATAATAATAATAATTAGGCGAAGCGAAGTCTAGAAGTTACTAGAGATATAACAAGAAACAAAGTTGTAAAAAAGGGACATCTTTTCAGCAACCATCCCAATCAAATTTACGATGTTAGAATGGTAGTAAAAAATTAATCACTATTGTGAAAAATATGCAAGTCGACTTTATTATATTAATTATGAACTGATTTCTGCGCCATCTGTTAGCCAGAACTATAAATGCTATCAGAGAGTAGCCAAGTCTAGGACTACGATTCGTAGTATTGAAATATGATCACAGATGTCACTTACTTCAAAATTGAGAAAATGATAAAATCGCCATCTATGAGCACGTGGTTGAACTATTTCAACAACGCTGTCTTGGAATGCAAGTTGCAATTGGTTTCAACTTTGTTTCTTATCATAGATGTCACTTAAAGGAAAAAAAATATCTCTGATGTTAAAAAAAAATGCACAAACTCGAGCTAGCTCTCAATATGGTTATTTATTTACTTTTTTATAAGCAACTACCTACCTATTTGGTGTTGTAATGTGTCTAGTAGCTAGTAGTACGGATTTTGTATAGTTATTGTTGTATTTTTTTTTATTGAATGGTAAAGGATAAAGATACACCTGTATATTATACACGTAGACGCTCTTTAAAAAAAAATCGACTGATCCGACAAAGTTTAAAAAAAAATTGCAAGAGATACGCTTCCCGTGGCTCTCGCTTTAAAAATATGTAAGTTATAACCATTAAAATTTAAATATTTACGATTTAAAGAAAGACTTTAAAAAGCTTTTAGAAACTTTCAAAGTATTCACTTTTATCTCACAAGGTATACTTATTTTAAAATAAGATTTTCTCTTTAAAACTTATTATTTTATTAATTTTTGGAAGTTGTACTTCTTTAGGCCGTATGCAAAATTGATGAGAGTGAAATTTTACGATTCGCGCGACCTATTTCACAAAATTGCAGTGTGATATAGCGTGCGCGAGCGAGATGGGAATAAGACAAACTACAAGTAAAAAAATAGAATATGCGTGAAGCTAACTTCACGCATATTCTAGCTGAGCAGCTAACAAGAATTTTGAATGACCATGACAATTGACATCTGACAATGACATTTACCTTTTAAACAAATATAGGAGTTTTAATTATTGTTTAAAATTAATAATTATATACCTAGTTATTTTCATTATACAAAATATTTGTGAAATAATATAAAATATTTGTAAAAACTGTGCTAACCTTCCTGAGTGCTTCAATACAATTGAGGTTAACTATCCGTATGTATTATCGAGTATTATTGTTGATTAAAACTGAAACATGAACCATTATTCATTGCTTTTGTTTATTGCGTTTGTTACAGCAACTTTTTAGAAATATTTACGACCCTATATATCAATAATTGAGAACAAAGATTTAAGCACGAATACTAATAAGGAGAAAATGAAGGCTTGGAGCGATATAAAAGAAGTAAACATTTTAATAGTACCTGCATCTCAAAAAAATGACCACATTATTTAATCAAAACATCAGATTTAATCTAGCAAATATAAGACAAGAGACAAAAAACAATTGATGAATCAGTGGAAGTGACTAAATTGAATACAAAAAGAGTTGTCATCTTATCGCCGTGAAACATCAAAAACTAGGTGGAACAAAGCCACCATCACCTTCTCGAAACAATGGTTTGAAGTAGATTTCAATGAATTTGATTGTGATGGTGTCGAGGTAGGAATGTTAATTATAAATATGATGTATGGTGATGTTCAAGGTTCAACCTTTCAAGATAGGCATATGCTTACAACATTACTTTATTCCCTAAGGGTAGTTAGAGATATTGTAATACCTCAAACATCCAGTTGCACTTGTAGTACCGAAACTCTGTCCTGCCAGAATGAGCCCATTCCCACTTTAATGGACAGTGGGTATAATACACCTTAATACCTGAGTGCGAACCACTCACCATGATACTTAAATTAATGATGTTATTTATATATTTCAGGTTATTACAAATAAAATCATTTTGGAAACAATTGATATCCCAAAAGCAAATAAAGCCAACAATGACAAGGTAATAAATCAGTTTTGACATAACTTGAATACTAAAAAAGCCAAACAAAGGTGTGCACAACAGTGACAACATAACTTAACAATTTCATTATTTTGTAGGATTAAAGAAAGGTTAAAAGAAAATCATGTCGAACTGAACAACAAGAATCCCCAAACAACTCCAAAGAAACCTACAAGGAAGACACCGTATTATATTTAAATTATTCTATCTCTAAATAGAATAAAAGAAAGTTGCTATCCAGGTCTGTAGCATGTGCTAAAATTATATTATTAACACATTTATATAATTATATTAATATAATGTGTTAAAAAATTTATAATATGAATTATAAAAAATTTTAAGTTTTGCATGGACAGAGCTTAAATTAATATTCTCTTATTTGTTGCAGAAAGCGAGTAGTTTTGGAGAAGCCTCGTAGATGCACAACCAAGTAATGATTAATTTAAAATTACAAACCGAAATTCTGATGAAGACATTAGAGTCACTTAAAAATAAATAGTATAATGAAATAAAAATGTTTTAAAGATAAATAGTGTTTTATTTGTTTAATGTAAGAGAATAATAATAAATATTTATTTAATTAATTTTTCAAATGTAAACTGAACTTTATTGACTTTAATGACTCCTTTTCCAGTCTTTGATTATTTAATTGTAATTAATTATTTGCAGCAATCAAAAACTATTTTTAATAATGCCAAAGAAGTATAACTTCTTAGCGCGTACATAAGTACACGACCCTTTTTTTATTAACAGACAGTTTGAAGTTTTAATTTTGTCATGCCATGTTTTTGATTTCATTTTTGCTATGGATACGTTGAATAATGTCTCTGTGTGTATGTAAGCAGAATAGGGAATGTCATCTCGAGTCGAAATCTCGTGGGAAGGAATTACAATCTCCCGAGATCTCGCTCATTTCAAGATTTCGGGTAGTTTTCGAAAACCACCACCTATTAGGTATTTGATTTTGGAAATACCTTCTTAAGAAGCAAATACAGTTGAGTGAGCTGTCTGATAAGCGGCACTGCTGCTACCCAGCAGCTGAAAATGCCCTCTCAGACTCAACCAGTGTAAGTTGGAACTGTAAAAAGCTACACCTTGCTCCCCCACACTCATTCATCTCTTTTTTTATTAGTGACTCTAATCTCGCAGAAACAGATGAAGGCCTTTTAGCTGTCTCTTCTAATTCCTGTTGAAGAGTTGTGTAGGTTTTTATAGCAGCAGCACGTAAATTCAAATCCTCTGCAATAATTTAAAGAGGCAGTTTTCTGTTGCGGTGTTAATCTCATTAAGCAAGCAAAGAGCAGTGTTGGCTTAGTGGCTTCAGCGTGCGACTCTCATCCCTGAGGTCGTAGGTTCGATCCCCGGCTGTGCACTAATGGAATTTCTTTCTATGTTCACATTTAACATTCGCTCGAACGGTGAACGAAAACATCGTGAGGAAACCGACATGTACCAACCCAAAAAGTCGACGGCGTGTGTCAGGCACTGGAGGCTGATCACCTACT